CATTCCGTCGCTATCTGCTCATCATCATTTTCCCTACTGAAGTACTGTTCTAACTACTTAGTACTTTTATGCACCTCGATGATAAATGATAAGAGGGTGAGTATAGTAAAAGCGTAATATGTTAATTAGACCGGACATCCTTCCGGACGAAGCTGGGGCTGGGAGGGAAGTCCCAGTCCTGGGTGTCAGAGGGAAGCCGGTGCCGGCAGCTGGGGGAAAGAAGGCCTTCGCTAAAGAAAAAAAAAAAAAGCCTACGCTTGCTCGAATTTTGTACATCAGGCCTCTAGTCTATGTATATCAAAGGTTAATATGCTAAGTGTCCGACCATTCAACTGGTAGCTATGATGCACACTGACCATAAGGGGGCAGACCCTCAATGCACAGGCATGGAAACATGGAACAGACTGATGAACCTCAGTAGGAAGGGGGACAGGGAAGCATGGGAAGAGATTAACCAAAGATCTTATATGCATACTAGAGGCCTCTCACAATCCGGGACCCCTTGGGGGATGTTGGATTGCCGGTTTTGGCCTGATCCCTGCAGGCCAGGCCGAGGGACCCCACAGGTGCACGAATTCGTGCACTGGGCCTCTAGTAAGATTAAAAGCCAGGTGTTGGACACACCATGTTGGTGGACAAGACTTTGTGTTGGTTCTGAGTTCAGTACAAGTTTTTCCAAGTTGATCTCATTGCGTTAAATCCAGATATATCAGACTTTTTGCCCAAGGCTTAGGACAGTGAAAGCCAATTAAATTCCTAAGAATAACTACTATTAGTGGAGTATAAATTGCCTTCCCTTTCTCCGTGAGGATGGTGTGTTTTCATCCTCTAGGTCTTGTTTAACTGTAAGGAAGGCCTCCTGTCCTGACTCACAGGCCGCCCACCGGTCCTGTTCCCTTGCCCGTCCTCCCTTTACACCTGTACTTACTGTTTCTGACCTGAGGGTCCCGAGGATGTCAGCTCCGTGGGAGCAGGCGGTCCAGCCGGCTCCCTGCGCCCTCCGTGCTGCCACAGAGACCACACCCAGACGTGCTGAACGAATGAAACTCATGACCCTCTTGGGGCGAAGATTTATTTTTAAAGATCATATTATTTTTATTATTTTTTAAAATATATTTTTATTGATTTCAGAGAGGACGGGAGAGTGAAAGAGAGCCAGAACCACCACTGATGAGAGAGAATCATGGATCGGCTGCCTCCTGCACGCCCCCCATTGGGGATGGAGCCCACAACCGGGCAGGTGCCCTTGACCAGAATCCAACCAGGGACCCTTCAGTCTCAGGCTGACACCGTATCCAGAGCTGAACCAGCCAGGGCGCGAAGACTTATTTGAAACAGAAAACTTTAAAGTACACATTCCCCCCTCCTGACTCCCCATTTATTTTACATATAAACGGAGACATTGGTTTTGAGCCTCATTAATGTTGGGTGACATTTTATGTAAACGTTTCGTGTTCTATAGAAATTAAAACTTTAGAATTAAAGTCCAACCCCCACCGACACGTTAATTTCACCGCGTTCCTTCCACACGCCGAGAACTCGGGTTTCCCGCGTTCTGGCCGGAGC